AATTTATAATATACATATCATATAAAAATTCATAATTTTTAATTATTAAAATAATTATTCATTTATTAATATTTTATTTATACAATTTTTCTAATATGAAAATAATTTTTTGAAATAAATGTAGATTAATGGATTTGATAAATTCAATTTAATGTTATATTCTTAAATATTTTATAAATAATATTTTTCTTTTTTATAAATAATAAATATGTTGTTATTACTTATTAATATAAATTAAAATATTAATTAATAAATTTTAAAAATATATAAAAATTTTATTATGCATATCATTTGTAAATTTATAAATTTTAAGTATTAAATTACTCTATTATTAGTATTTTATTTATATAATTTTCTTGATATTAAAAACCATCTTTTTATATAAACATGAACATTATTCTTTTGAAATTTTAGATTTTTTTTTGTATTCGTTTTAAAATTTTAATACGAATTATTAAATATAAACATGTGTTTTTGCTAATATCACATATAGAGACAAAAGTTAATAAATTTTATTTTATTTTATTTATTATCACAATGACAAACATAATTTAGTGGATTAGAACTGCATTTAAGGTGCAAGGCTATGCGATACTTTTGGCTAATGGGAATGTAGCCTAGGTTACACCATTTAGCCAAAAAGCAGTCGCATTTCTGGGTATTTTATTCTACGTATATTGCATGTTAATTTTCCATCTTTAATTATTAAGTATCTGTTTGAAAACCCACTTGCAAAATCAAGGTGTCACAACTCTCAAGTTGTTTAGGATTTTTTTCTAACCTGTTTATTCGCTTTGATGTTAGGTTTCCCTTAGTTTTTAACATATTTTCGTTAATATAAAAACTAAAAAAGACACTAATTATTTAAAGCTCATAATGGTGTGTGAGCTATGCAAATTTTTCGTAAGACAGGGGTTTCTCCTAAATTATGAATAAATTAATGGTTTTTAAAAAGATGAAAGCTTTTTTTTCCCAAATGAACAAAAGTATATTGGATTAGTAGAAACAATGTTGTCATTAGGGAATTCACCCAAACGAGCAAAATAGTAGAAGAATCCTTTCTTTTAGAAAAGCTAAAGGTTCAATTTTACTCAAACTCAAATTTTGAATTTCAAGCTGAGTAATTATTAAGGTGCAGTTTGACAAGTATTTTTTGAAAGATTTTTCTGAAAGATCTGATAGTCAAAAGACATAGTGAGCTTTTATATAACAACTTTGTCAGTCTAAAGATCATTTTGTTGTAGGCGCGTCTGCCTACATGTCTTTCCATACGAAGACGAGACAAAAAAAGGCGAAAAACTCCATTTCTAGTTTCCTAATAAGCTCAAATTGAACTTTTCACGTCTTTTTGAGGCACGCTCTTTTGGCGGAAAGATTTTCCTCCAACTAAACGAAAAAAGACTGAAAAGTGAGCTTATGGGCTTCCTAAACACCGACAAATCGTGTGAAAAGTCACACCAAACAGGACGGTCAACTACTTACATTGAATCATAATTAACAAGATTTATGATCTATTCTAGAAAACTAAAACTTAGAAAGTAAAGCAAGCATAGGGAAATCCAAAACATTTGGAATTAATGCATTTTTGGAATCTCATCACAATAGCACAACATCCTTTTAGAAAAATGATTAGAACTTCATCTAGAAAACTCTAAGTTTAGTTCCGTTTGGGGTGTTAGAAAGGGGACCGGATCTAATAGGCACATCAAAGTAAGCACATTAAATGAGTACTTGATAAATATTTTAACAATTGTCAAAGATAAGTATTAATCTTTTTCAAGGGTGGGGTGGGGTGAGGGTATTTTAAGAGACAGGTGTCAAAAATTTTTCAAAGTATTCATTGAATGTGCTTACAACTTCATGCCTACCTCATCCGAATCCGTTGAAAAGTAAACCTCTAGAGATTACAGCTTTTTGTGTCAAATTCCCATTCTTGGGGAAGACTCGTTCTCGAGAAAGATCTAAAACATTGAAGGTTGTAGATACATCATAGTCTTTAGGTAGTCGAATCTGGGGACGTTCATTAAAAACCAAAAAATAGAAAAAATCAAATCAATGAAACTGAACCGAAAAATCAAGGTTAACCAAAATGGTCTGCTCAATATTTAAAAAAAAAAAAAATTGAAGGCATCAGTCATTTCAGTTAACGAATATGAAAACTGACAGTTAACCAAACTGAATGGTATATATGTATTTTTATATATATTATATAAATATATGCATTATATATAATATTTATAATATAGAATATAATATTTATAATATATATTATAAATATAAAAAAATTGAAAAATCAAAGAACCAATCCGATAAAAAACTAAACTAATCAATTGATTAATCGATTGGTTTTGGTTTAGGATTTTCCAAAAAACCAAAGGACCAATTCGTTTAAAAAAAAAAAAACAACACAGTTCATTTAACCAAACCGTGAGCACCCTAAAATGAATTTTTATGCTTTTTTACCAATGTTTTTGATAACTTTGAATGGCCCATTAGCTCTCTTGGCATAAGCTTAACATAACGTCCATGAAGAAAATGTTCCTTGAAAAGAAAAACCCACACTAAATCTCTTTCCTTGAATTCTACAAGCTTCTTATGACTGTTTGCTTGTTACTAATATTTCTCAATATGTCCTTGAATCTGCTCTTATTTGTTGATTAATTTTACACCTTACTTGACATCTCCACTGAAGTGTAAGAGGTGGAGTCAAATTCAAGCAACAAATGGGATTGTACCCATGGGTAGCTTCAAAAGAACTACATCCCATGGTTTGAATAGAGGAGTTATTGTGGGTGAATTCAACTTGAGGTAGGATGAGACCCACTATCAAATGTGTCAGCCCACCAAGCTTCTTACGAGATTTACTAAATTTTGGTTAGCAACATTATTCTAACCATCTGTTTGTAGGTGACAAGTGGAATTACATTGAAGTTTAGTCTCTAGTTTTTTTTTTCTAAAATGTATGCCAAAAGTGGCGCTCATGAACTTAAAGTCTTACTCTGAAGTGGAACATAGAGTTTAACAATCTCCTATATATCAGCCACATTAGATGTATCAAGAGTCTTGTTGCATGGTGTAAAATATGTCATTTGAGAAAAACTGTCAATCAAGGTTTTTAAAACCTAACTGAATAATGAATCGGTCAGGGGTCTGGTTCCTGGGTCAAACGGTCCGATCGTTCGAACCAAATGGATGGTCTGTTTTGACAAAAAAAATTAAAAAATAAAAAACGATCAAAATTATTGGACAGTTCGAACAGTTTAACCATCCAAATCAACGATTTACTGACCAAACCAACGTTTTTTGGCGAAATAACGATTTTGGGGTAGAATGGAACCTGGTTTTTGCAGTCCGACCGTTCGGTCCAATTTTGAAAACCATGCGATCAACAACCACCATGGTTGAGTCTTTGTTTCTTGGAATGCATGGCAAACCAACTATACTTACATCTCCCAAGGTGCATTTGCAAGAGAGTGGAGTATATAGCCTTGTCTTTTGGCCATGACTTTTCGCAATGTGACAAATTCTGCAACATTTCATGTACTGTACATGCATTCAAGGCTTGTTTATACTTTCTTACATAAGAGCAAGAGTCTTGTCTCTTCCAAAGTGTCCACCAAGATCACCACCATAAGTTATGATGATAATAGCCACTTGAATGAACAGAGAGGGATACAAAGGCTTTGTATCCCATAGTCATCCAACACTCTTTTACAAGAATGGTCTTAACTTCATATTAAGATCTCCAAATTTGCTCCATTTAAGGTGTTGGAAAGCAGACTTCCAAAACTTTCAGCTTGACAACATGAAAAAGATAACTCGAGTGTGATATACTTACAAATTTGACTATAAAATTGAAACAATTAAAAATTTATAACCGTACATTTTCCAAATGAGTTTTGAATTCCAGTTCAAATTTGGCTATATATATATATATATATATGGACATTCCTGTGTCACTAATAACTAACAATCATGGTGGATTATAGATTATTAGTTACAAATAAATTCTACAGATGAAGTCATTTAGGCAAAATATTAGGAACTATTTTATTGTGGTCATAAGGCCCAAACCAACTAGCTAGGTTGGTAGGTGAATCATGTTCCACTATGCACTTGTGCACGCATGCCCAATTCAGCCATTTTCAAAACTACTAAGAATAAACAAACATTAAGAATCTTTTGTGAAGTCAATGATCAAAAACGAAGGGGGAAAGGCATTTTCATATATCTATTACTGTACTCTTATTATATATATATATATATATATTTATTTATTTATATCATCAAGTTAATATTACTATTAAACCCTATATTATTACCCCAAAAAATAAAATAATATATCAATTACCATCTTATTCATTAATAAAATACTTTATGAAATTTTCATGAATTTAGTTTTGTTGCATGCATCCAGAATTTGATGTGGCTTCTTATTGCGGGAGTTCTGACCTTGCACCCCGGTGGCGGGCGGCTGAAGCCATCCACTTCCATTTCCACTATTGATGATTATGAAATTTTGCCTTTGAGATTTTCTTAAACTGTATATACTTTAAGCAAGGTGAATATAACACAATTTCTCTCTTATTTTATATGAAATCAAAAACAACCCAAATGTTATTATATATTATTATAAATTAATAAAAAAATAAGATAAAAATATTATAGATATCTCCACGTGCAAGCAGTACTAGTAGATGATAAATTTATGGCCATGGCCTCCGATGTAATGAAGAACAAGGAAATAAAACATTCATTCCAGGTGGGCTCCAAGTACTCATAAGTAATTTAGAGCATTAATGGGCATCACATTTTTACCCTATTCTTTTTTTTTTTCTTCTTTTTACAAAAAAATGCCATCTCATACAATTAGTTATACATGCACCTCATTTATCATTGGATGTGATACTATCAGTAATAGACAATAGGCCCACCCCACCCCCTTTGTTAGGCAAAACAAAGGCAACGTCTTTCTCATTCCCCTTCACAACCTACCCGAAGTCCCAAACAACACTACTGCCTGCCTAAGCCTTCCCCCATGCCATCCCCTTACAAAAGTCACGAGACCCAATGTCCCTCACAGAGAGAGAGAGAGATGTCTCCAGACGGGCTGGCAGAGAAACTGATAGAGAACTTTCAAGCTCCCTTCCCCACCTTCACTCAGCTAGCCTCTATATTGCAGTTTCAAACTGAAGTCTTTTAATTTCACAAGCTTTCGTTATCATCCATCTGAAGTTTTTCACCTCATATTTTCTGTCTTTCTCTGTCTTGGTATCATGTAAGCACCCACAACCTTCATGGATGCTCTAATCTTCTCCCCAGCTTCTCTTTTCCCATCCATTAACCGTCTCTTTGTTTATTTCTCTGTGACGTCTTCTATGGTTGCAGGAGACCTGAGAGGAACCCATTGGACCTCAATAATCTGCCTGAGGAGTACGGTCGAGACGGAAAACAGGTGTTTGAGGAAAGCTCCGCCATTGGTAAAGAAATTGCAGACACCACCACTCGATCGGGTGGGGAGGGGAGGGGAGGGGGTGTTGGGCATGGGTTAGGATTGTGTTTATTATCAAGATTATAAGTTAGAAAATTGGAAATCCATATGGTATCTCTTAAGTTTTTAGGGAAGAAAGTCCAACTGTCCTAGTGTTCAACTCAAATCATGGCTTCTCTAAGTGGTAGGAAGAACAGTGCAATTTTCTTCTCTCTCTCCGTCCCTCCTCCACTCCCCCCTCTCTTTTCCAGTAAAGATTTAATTAATTGGAATCTCGTAATGAGAATGATGGGATGAATCAACGACAAATAAGGGACTTTGGGTTTATTTCACTATGAGTGTTATTATTTGAGAAGATTTACAGATTATTGTTTTTGTTTCGAATTTTATTCATGATGTGGGCAGGGAAGGTTTTGATAATTGATGAATGGTCTCTCAGTGTAGTTGCTTTATTTGAGTTTTATTGCTGCAGGTTGTAGGAGAAAGAAAAGTGGCGGAAAGGACGGAAAAGACGAGTATGGGAAGGTCTACGAGTGTAGGTTTTGCTCCCTCAAGTTCTGCAAGTCTCAAGCTCTTGGTGGACACATGAATCGCCATCGCCAAGGCAAGTTCATTTAATGCAACAATTAATAATCATAACAGGTATTAATAATATGAAAATTGCTTGCTAATATTAACGAAAAATGTACAAAAGATTTTTCCCCATCCACAAAATGTCTCAAAAAGTCTATATACTACGTCTATATATGGAAGAAAACTAGCGCTTACTTCTTGAAAATTCTCATATCATCTCAGTATTACTTACTGATTTTGCCTTGGAGTAGTATTGTGATGATGGGCATTGCTATGCTAGTCTTTTCATCTTCTCTCTCTCCCCTGAGTAACACTTGTGTTTCTGTTGCTGTTGCTGAAATTCTTGTTTCTCTCTCTCTTTTGTAAGCAAAATTGTTATTGCTGCTGAAATTCTTGGTGGGTTTGGACCTGATTTGACTTGATTTGATTTGTGTGGGGGTCAGAGAGGGAGACAGAGACACTGAACCGGGCTCGTCAGCTGGTCTTCAGTAACGAAAACTTAGCAGCGCAGGGGGTCCCTCATCTAGGGTATGTAATGGAACCACACAACCATCACTTCTCTTCCTCTATTTGTTTATTCATTTCTCTACACCTTTTCTCCTTCGGGTTGGCAGTTTCAAAGACTTTTTTTTTTTAATTTTCTACTTTAATGAATTCTTGCTAGAAAATAAAAACTATTAAAAAATACAAATAAATAAGAGGATCCAGATACAGATTTGGCAAAGTAGAAGGTATCTACTGTTTCTTGATTTTATCACATCGTCTACAGTGAATGGACAAAATGATGCTCAACCATGAAGGGCAACATGCATTCTTTCTTCTTACAACTTAATTAATTTGAACTGAGCCTTGGGCTTCTTCTCGTATTAGATATCTTCTCCATTTCCTACACCTTAAATATATATATATATATATATATATATATATATATATATATATTATCCTAGAATCTAATTTGCTTCTTTAATTATTACTAAATTAATATCAACAAATTAACAGGTTGAGAGATCTGAATCTGGGAGGCGGCCAACCCATCCCATCAGGAAGCTTTCACCAAAGTGGCAACCTGGGAGATCCATCTCTACCCTACAGATCGGTTTACCCATCAAGAATATTTCCGGGTTCTTCATCAGCAATCATATCATCGCCACCACCTCCACCCCAACCACCTTACCTCTATGCCTCTACCTCTCGCGTTGTGTCTTTCCCATCTCATCAGTACCCTCCTCACCCGGTGAACGACTACTTTGTAGGCCACGTACTGGCAGGCAACTCCCACCGACACCCGAATCAGAACTACGTGGGCTCGGCGGAATCTAATTACACTTGCATCGGGGCTCCTCTGGGACATGGGTTCCCGCCTGAGGATGGAGCTGTCCGGGGGACGGACTTGTCAGCATCGGGTGGTGGTGGAGGGGGAGACGGGTCACTGCGGAATCAGGAGGATGGACTGAATTGGGGTCGTAACTATGCAGGGACACAGCAACGTTTGGATCCTTCTTCGATCAATCGGTTTCAAGATGGGTTTTAAGATTGAGTGAAAGTGGAAGTTCTAAGACCTGCCGTGACACGCCATTCTCAAAGATAAACCAAACAACTGACAAATGGGGTCATGCAAGAAAGAGGAACCCTTTTTCTTTTTCAATTGGGCAGCTTTTGAGCTCATTCATACTCTCAGCTAGTTTGGCTTTGAGCTGGGTGTCTGTTTGTATGTGTGTAAAAGGGAAACTAGAGGTGGGGGAGGAGGGGTGCAGGCGGACAAGAAGTTAGATATTAACTGAAAGTTTCCAAACCTTTTTGCATTTCGACTTCGTTTTGCATGGGAAAGACGATTTTTCTCTCTTTCTTTGTTTTTATTTTTGTATTTCCGTGTCCTTTTCTTTACCTATAATCTATTATTTGAAACATAGTGGGAAAGCCTACCCCCGAGTGGCCAAGTCCCACCTCTCTCTCCCCAATTTGGGCATCTTTTAGTTTCATGAAACACCTTGCCCAAATGGTGCTTGCTCAATTGGAGAAATGGCCTAGAGAATAATAGTTGGTTTTCCTCCCTTGATTTCAGTCCATTTCATTTTCTTTCTTGAGCAGAACTAATCAAAATCAAATGAACAAGGTCCATGAAAGCTCTTAGAGAGAGCCTCTTCAAAGAAGAAGATGACAGCCCGTACAGAAAAAATAAATGCTTGGTAGAGTCATTTTGGTTGATTCGTTTTCTCTTTTTCTTCTATGGTTTATCTCCATTGACTAGATATCAATCTTCAGACAGGCAAGCATTTAAGTTAGTGATCAGTCTGTCTGAGGAGGGAGACTGGTTTGGGACCCAGGTCTTTTATTTCCTTCCCTTTTTCCTTAAAGAGTATTGAAATTTCTGGAAATACAAAAAAGAAAAGATAATAGACGTTTCCTTTTATTAGTAGCTTTTGATTAGAATCCCTACTTATCGAGATGGGCTATGTCTCCATTTAGAATCTGGGTAGCTTTTTTTTTTTTTTTTTTTTTTAGGATTTTCCTATCATTTCTTATTCTCTCGTGGCAGTATTTCTTCAAACAGAAAGAGTCATTTGGCACGGCTTTTTGTCAGCCTTTAACCCTACTATAACAACTAGACATGATTCTGACATGAACCTTCATCTGTAAATGTCTGATGTCTTTAGATTATAACGGCCATAATTTGATTTTCTGATTACGGAGTTGATTTCTTCACCCTGTCAAGTTATTCAACCCCAAGCATGGGAGTAAGTAACGGTGGCGACTCTAATTAATTAAGAACCTTTGGTTACGGCTGAAGTTGTTTAACTGAACCACTTATTTCATTGAATTTTATTGGATAAAATAATGAATCAAATTATAGATCGAAGAATATTGAAAGGTATAGTCTATATATCCAACTCCAGCTTCAGCCATCAACGAGCCCACAACCTCTTTAAACACTTATTAACTAAAAGACAAAGCAATAAGCATTTCGGTTCCGCGGCCACTTCAGCATCAAATAGATGCAGGAGCACTAATTGGCTCGTTTCAGTCAAGCGGCCGGCTAACTTCATTACTTCACTACTCAATTTAGCTAGCTATTAAGCTTGAGGTTCATATGCTAAGGTTTAGTTGGTTTTCATAGATCACTCTTAATACATATGGAGAGAAGATGATGCAGTATGGGAGAAAGCTAATAAGTTTTATGTAAACTGGGATCATTCCGATACACATAAGAAGTAGAAATGATGCCATCGGCCCATCTTAGTAAATATTTATCATCATAGGAATTTCATCTTAATTCGTTTTTACTAAGTTGGCGCCATCTCAGAGTTTCCATCTTAGTTTGTTTTAATCAAGATAGCATTATTTTGAATTTATATTCAATTAGGACTTTCCTTTTGAAGCACTTTAGTAGGATTTTATTTTAGAGTATTTTCTTATAATAGGATTTTATTTTTTAAGGAGTTTTAGTAGGATTTTATTATGAAGTGTTTTTAAATTAGAATTAGGAGACATAAGGGTGTATGTCTATATAAAGAGTAGTTAGGGGAAGGCTAAGATAGTTTTCTTGCCATCAATTTTCTCTTAATTGTTTAGTGAAAAATTTTTCTTCTTAAAATTTGACTTCTACTCTTTTCTTTGAAGCTTTTTTCACGTGTTTCATTTTCGTACTGTGCCAGTCCATGACATAACAATATATAGCATGAAGAGTTTGAACCTAAATTAGATTAAATTGTACAATAGGGATAAGTTATTAACATTTAGTATTCATATAATTTCTTTGTGAACTATTGATCACAAAGAAAAATGAATATAACAAGGTAATTGTCAAACTAGGGGGTGTTTGGTTAGTGGTTATGTTTGTGTTTCATCTGGTTCATGAACACAATCGGCATTCTATATGCATGTTATGGAACCGGCCATTAGTCCATGGTTTCAGAACCAACAGAATGGCTTTTTATTTTTTGGAACACAACTTTTTATAGCTTTCTCAACCAGTAAAACATGGTTTGGTAATGTAAGCATGACATGGCAATGAAAGTACATATACACACTAATCAATGCTCACATATGATGGTTCAAAAAAAAAAAACAAAACAAACAAACAAAAGAACCATGAACAGAACATCCTCTTTTACATTATGTGGTTCCAAAAAAGAGATTAATATGATTTTGGAACCATGCATACTACCTTTTTTAGAACCATGAAGTGAACACCACCTGGGTAAATTGTTTAGGTTCAAATGTTGCATCTAGATCATGAGAAATGCAAGACACAATACAATTTGAATATATACAGATGGGTATGTTTGTATGGAATCCAATATATTGAAAATTCATTCATTCATTCTTGTTTGGATTACACAAGATCATTGCTTTCTTTAACAAGAGTTAACTTATTAGTCATGATTAATTTCTTTCAAAAAAAAAAAAAAAGAAAAATCCATTTGAAGCAGTATTCTCCAACTCAGACCAGCTAGCGGTTGGACCATCCAAACCAGGAACCAGCAGCTAGCCAAAACGTTTTCTGGGTCTCCCTATTCTTAGAAATGTTGACTTAGTCAAACTTATCCCAGATACATGTTCAGTGTAATATAACCTCTAATAATTATTCTCTTAGCTTAATTTGGAACCAAATTGTCATAATGGATGGTGGAACCTTTGAACCCGTCATCCATCTAAAACGGTTTATGTCCATTCCAAGTGTGACAACATTGATTTGAACCATTCCAATCCTGATAAATGAACTGTTTTATTTTTGTTGTTGTTTGGCAAAAGATGATAAAAAAGTAGGCAGGACATTAATTAATATAACAAAATCCAAATCCCGCCATACACCGTCTTACCATCATCGATGATGAATCTGTGTAACTGGAAAATAATCTTCACTACACTAGGTAATGACAGAGATGGACAAGGAATTCAACTACCTTATTTATCTCATGCCAGTAAAACAAGAAACGACTAAAACCCAAAAAAGGATTCCATAAAGTTATTAACCAAGGCATCAATTTCTGATAAAAGAAATTGATAGGACCACAAGCTTACAATTTTGTCTTTAATGTATAAAACAGAAAGGGAGGAATCGCATACCGCCACCTAGCTATTTATGAATTTTGTGTTCCAAGGCAAGAAGTAATCCCTCTAGATCTGATCAATATCCTACATCTCACGACTGACAACAGGTATCGTCCCCATTGCACCAGTAAAACCCACAACACTTGTACCTTGATGATACCTAATAATACTTCCAAACCCACCTACCGTAGCAGATAGCGAACCATCAAAGTTATTGGATAATAATTCATTTGAGTTTCTTACTTTTTACTTTACTATTTCTTATTTTTTGTTATTTTTGCTTTATAAAATTATTATATTATAGTTAACGGCATCATCCTCATCATCATCATTATTATTATTACTACTACTGTGTTGTTATTTTTTTCTATTTTTGTATTATTAATGTGTTCTTGTTTCCATATCTTATATCATTATTCTTATTATTGCCTTATAAATAATGTTCTGAGTAAAAAATAAGTCAAAAATAAAAAATAAAAAACTTTTTGAGAGTGCATACGAATCAGAACTTCCATTATTGTTCAAAGAGTCCGATTAAGATTATAGTGCATTTTCAATATTTATTGTAAGTTAAATCAAAATTTCAACCAATCACATTAAAAACGTAATGTGATATATTTACTTTTTACAAGGTCTATTTTAACCAAAACATAATTTCGCATTTTACAAGGTATAGTTATCATTAAAGACTTTAGCAACATTAAGATTCAACAATGACTTACCGCTTTGTCACTGGTTCAAGTTTTTCGCTTCAATAATGCACCATAGATTTTGCCTTGTTCAAATTTATGAAAATTTGATACATCAAATTGAAATTGCACCTTTCCACTTCACTTGCTTCTCAAAAAATAATCATGGCCTAAATTCATGGTCAAGATTAATGCAAACTTTGATTAATATAAGTGGACATTGTTTTCAAATTCATAGTGCACACAAGCACAATTGAATGTTGGTCTTTTTGGTGAATCCAGTAATACAAACATGATTCTCTGCTACCCAATATACGAAATAAATTATTCTATCAAGATAAGAGTTCAGAAATTTCATAATAATGATGAGAAAATAGAGAAGAGTTAAAGAAAAGCTTTAGACAACTCCCTCTTGAGAAAGACCTTAAAATTTTATAATAACTGATTGATTCTGACTCTTGTATATATTGTTCTCTATTCGCAGAAACACATCCTGAAATTCATCATCAATGATCACCAATATCTTTCAGAAATGTAATTCGTTGACAGACAAATTATCTAAAGAGATTCAATTCGGTAATGAATCAAGTATATATTTACTTCAGAGGCAGATTTCTCATCCAAGTAAGTCTTGATTATTCTTTTATAAGGACCAGGTTGCCTATTTAGTTTAATATCACAGAATCATTTATCTCTATATTTGAAAATTTTGCCTCGATTTAGTTCTTGTATCAGTTTTGTATGTATATAGCCATCCCAATATAGTTGGGACAAGGCTTGGATGATGATGATGATTGGTTTTGTATGTATGTTCACTCTATATATATAATTTTAAAAGAATACTGGCGGAAGTACAGAAACAAATCATGTTTAGAGAATCTTTAAAGAAAAGAGCAAAAGTCAAAATAAATAAGAAGAATTCTTTACTGCATAATTAAGAGAAAATCAACCAAAATTGTTATAGCTTTGCCCTACCTACTCTTCATATAGACTTACACCCTTATGGCTTTTACAAGAAAGTTTTCTAATCTATGATAACATTCCTTAACAAAATTCTACTACAACTCCTCAAAAAGAAAATACTAATTGAACAAAAATTTGGAAATCACAATGTAAGTTAACTTGGTAATTATGAACTAAGGTAGAAGTTCCATGCTGATACTAAC